CTATTGTCAGGGATAAAAATGTTTTCATTCATTTTCTTTGTGCTTAGAGAATTTTTTTTCAGCATCCAGTCATTTTAAAAAGCAAAATTGACCCATTTTGTAAATACCAGCCAGTTTACATTTCAGGCAGATTTCGGTCACATAAAAGAGGATTTTTAAATAAGTTGTTGATTTCCATTTTTTTAAATAATTTCAGTTTAATTCTTCTTTTATTTGACTTGTCCTTTCATGAAGTGTGAGATCACGGCTCTCCGCAACTTCCTGTATTTGTTACTCTAAGTAACACCTCATAGGTCTATTTTATTAAATAAGTTGCACAAATGTGCATACACATTTTTGGATCCATTTAAGATTTGGTAAATAAACAGGTTTCCAAAGAAGTATATAGAGTTAATAAATTCCCAAGATTTGGATCTGTGGTCGCAGTCTGACTGTAAACTTTGCTTTGCATAAGTCATATATGGCAGCCATATTGCTGCCAACATTAAAAGCAATAAGTGGATGGCAAGCATTGAGAAAAATCTGACAGTAGAAATCTTGTGTTAAAAATTTAGAAACCCTTTCTTTTTTGTTTGTATATATGTATACAAGTCCAGTAGACTTCCCTATGGAGTATAGGTCAATACCCTCATCACACTAGGCATTGCTGCTGTGGTTTCTCTAGTAGGTACGTTTTTAGTGGGTGGAATAACTAGCACCATGCCCAACAGGTTTTTGAATTCAGAATTGTCTTTCTCCTGGATTGATTGCCAACCAAGGCTAGAGAGCTCCTGCTATTAACTTCTTGCTAGTGGGGGAAAAGATAATACCTTTCCAAGATATGGGTAAATAGCAGGGCAGGTTGGGTCCTATAGCCTTGGATGGCAACCAGTGTAGGAGAGGGACAACTCTGAATTCAAAACCTGATGGGCTAATGTCTTAATTTATTTAATATACAGAGTGTCCATAAAGTTCGTGTGCACTTAAAAAAATTATAACTTTATTTGTATTTGCGATAGAAATAATTTGTAAAAAGAATTAGAAAGAAGTAAATCTATATTTTTTAAGGTTTTATTGAAATTTTATTTAAGTTTCCACATGTCCTCCATCATTAGCAATACAAAGGGTAATACAATTTTGTAGTTCACGGAAAACATTTGTCAACTGATTTACAGTAATTCCTGAAATCACATTAGTTATTTTAGCTATACTTAAAACTAGGTACATTAAACTTTATAAAAATTTTTGCAGATTATTTCTATTGCAAATACAAATAAAGTTATAAATTTTTTAAAATGCATACGAACTTTATGGACACCCTGTATTTCAATAAAATAAGTTGTCTTTTATTCCCAATATTTATAGGGTTGAAAACACTGTAAATATTTGATAATGTTTAACCTTTGTGCCTGCAAAAAAATGGTTTGTCAAAAGGGTTTTTTTTTCTGTTAACACTACTATTACTATAAACTACCAAGACTCCATTGGCAATGTTTATTTACAAGATTATAAAAATATGTGAATCAAAATTTTCAATGAATTGTGTTCTTTGGAATGATTAGCAAAACATCAGCAAACTGCCAATTGATTCAAACATTATAAAATGGTAAATAATAAGGATTTCATTATAGTTGGTTCACATATTTTTATGATTTTGTAAATTTTTATAAATTTATGAATAAAAAATTGTTTTCATATTTATTTCTTTATAAATTGGTAAATAATAAACATTGCATTGTATTAGTTGGTTCACATTCTTAAAATGTAAATATAAAATTATTCTTGTAGTTAAAAAATTCTAATTAATAAATTTTTTGTCATAAATTCTCTAAGAACAAAGATAATTTGTGTTTTATAAAATTCTAATTATTCTTTTTTAAAACAAACATTATTGAGGGAGCAAAGCTAGTAAAAAAATAATAGCAGTGTTCAGGAAAAAAACATCCTTTTGACACACCCTTTTATTGCAGGCACAAAGGTTAAACTTTGCCACATATTCTTTGGAATAAAAAGCATAAAATCTGATTAGCACAGTGTTATAAACACATATGGTTACATGAGAGAAGAAACAAGGTACCACAAGGTACTGCATATTCCTTGTTATGCTGATATAGAGGATAAGTAGAACCTGGATTTGATGCTTGTGTTGGGTTGGTTGACCGAGGTCACTGATGGAGACATTGACAGTTTGTCCGCTCACCTGCAATTACTGACAGTGTTGTGAGTGGCATTCTTAAAAGCAGAGGTGTTGGATCATGACTCAGTATTTTTTGTTCTGCCTTTTGATTTAGTGACAGCATTCATGATTGGCGTCTTTTATATTGTATTTCATATGTTTTTTTAAGGGGACTTGCTTTATGATTGGGATGTGATGCTTGAAGTCCTTTCACAGAGAGAAGCCTTTTATTTTTAGTTCCAGGAGTCAAACCAAGCAGTTGCTATTTTTAACACAGGTGAGGCAATGGCCTTTCCTGGTCAGAGGCTAAATCTGCCTCCCCAACCATCTGCCACATGATGCAACTTACAAGCTCATGCTGCAGTTTTCATATGGAAATATATTTTCACTAGGTATACCTGGCTTGCATTCTTCAATTTAAGAAAAACCCAGAATTTGCCATTTCCTGTTTGCAGAACATGTTTTTCTAGCAAAATAGCAGCTAAACCTGGCCTGCTTGAACCTGAATTTTAAATATGCCTTCTCTAGAAACACACAAGAATCTCTAGCAGGTCCAGTTTCTGTTGGGAATTGTTATATGTAAGACTTTCATTCTCTTTTCACTCTGCTTGTTGCTGCATATATGTGTTATATTATCTCTGCTTAGGACAAATGTAAATATGTATTTATAATTTTGTGTATGACTTAACATTATAAAACTCTCTCTGAGAAAAAAACCTTTGTCATTCTTTTTTTTCAGCTATTCCATTCCATCTATGAAATAAGGTGTTAGTATATCATAGATATACTAATGCTAATAAAGGGGATACGCAAATGGGAGAATAAATCTTTCTTTAATAACTCACACATTAAGACAATATTACAAACATGCTGAAAAGATTCCACAATACAATGCACTTCATTTAAATCAAAGTGTCTATTGGTTAGAAATTAACATCACCCTGTGAAGTATTTGATCAATTAGAGAAAACTAAAACTTTATTTTTCTCAAGCCTACTTTCAGGAAAAGTTTCTTATAAAACCCCAAATATTTTGACTTTCAAAGAGCAGTGATGCAGCTATCTCCAAACTGCACACAAGAGAAGACATGGCTACATAGTTTTTTCCTTCCCCCAGAGCATTTGCTGAAAACGAATCACCTACAACAGCATGGACAGTCAGTGAATGTTTGCTAACTATAAAAGCTGTTTCTCAAATAAAGTTTTTTCTGTCGACCAACTGTTTAAAAGTCTTTTCTAAACTACAAATTTTTCTGTGAACAAACTACCCAAAGATCTTAAATCAACTAAAGTCTATTTTTAACCATTTTTTACTCTTTTGAATTCATGTACATATGTTTGTAAATATAAATTATTTATTTCACAGGCATAACCTTGTTTTCTTTAGTTTTATTTTATTATTGTTTGGGATCCAAAGTTCGAATATTTAATATAAAAAAACACTGGACAACTGAATTTTCTACATACCCACAAGCTGAAGTTATGTCTTTCCTATGACCTCTTTCCTACCCTAACAGTTTTTTTTGTCTGTTGTCAAAGCAGAGCCTCATCTGGGTAGGTTGACAGATATCCAACCCATGTAAACAGGGTCTATGGGAAATTTTTCCCGGGTCTACAGGTGTAGTGGACCAGGGTTGTGATGTTGTTGAGTAGAAGTAGAAGAAACACTTGTGAGTTCAGATTTTCCTGCTAGCTGGTCCAACTACATGAGAAAGTTGGACTTTTAATTAAGTCCAAAGAAGAAGGCAAAGAAAAACAAACACAAGACCGATAATATATGTATACAAATATATATATTAATAACTAAATAACAAGTTACATGGAACAGTTAAAGGACAAAGTGTGTGTGTGAATATTATATATGTGCGTGTGTGTGTGTGTGTGTTGTGCTTAGCGTGTTCCCAGCATTTGGGAAACGCTATCTCTGTGAGCGTTTACATCTGCGAGGTGGTAAGGCTGAAAGCCTGAGGAAAAAAAGAGAGATTTACCTCAAGGTGGCAGCTCAAAGTCCTGAGGGAAAAAGAGGAAGAGGTGAAGGGTCAGCGACTATTTATAGCCAGGGAAGAGAGACCCCTGGTGAAAGGGTTAACGAACTAAAGGAGAAGTTAACTCCGACACAGGCTCGGAAAAAACCCACTTAAAAAACGGCCTTGTGCCACATCCCGCCTTGTGGGGGAGGTAACTGGTAAATAAATATTGTTTTCTTACCCTAATAAAGCGTGCCTTATGATTTTTCTTCAAAGGCTTTTTTCCTTGCAACAGCCATAAACAACTCAAGCTAAAAATGTTTGAAAGGACCAACTCTGAAATGTTTTCTATTATAAAATTTACGGTAATTTTACTTATCATGGAAATATTTTTATTTATTCTTTGTGAAAGAAAGAAGAAAGGAATTGTTTCTCTCTTTCAGTTTTACTTTTGCTATTAATGAATGATTAACTAACATTGAAGTTTTTAATTGCAACAAAACAAATATATTATTTAGCTATCAGTAAGTAAATATTAAAAAAAAAAAATAAAACGCACCAAATACAAACAGGTTGTAAGTTGTTTTTTTTTTTTCGTGTGACAGCAGAATGTTTTTTAAAAAAATATAATGACGTGCGTCTCGTCATTAAATCCTTTGCAGACCCTAATGTGATATAGTTGTGCTACTAAACGACTATTTGAGTGAAATATCACCGACCAGTTGCTAGGCAAATAATCTGGGTTGTGGAAGCTAAAGTTAAAGACGACGAAATTGTTTAGTTTCTCTGTTAAGTTCTTTATTTTTTTACTGAAGAAAAAGTATCCTAAAAATGTCATTACAAGCTTTACCTATTCTTATTCTCAACCTTGGAGGGGAGATGATGTACATTTTGGACCAAAGACTTCATGCCCAGAATGTACTTAAAGACAAAACATCTAAAGGTGACGAGAGAAACTTTTTTCTTTTTTGTTATTGTTTCTCATGACATTCTGCTGTAAATCTTATGCCATTCTTATTAATAATTTTAGTTGTTGTTAACTTCAGCTTTATTTTTTTTTTTAAACAATTTCAACATACCCCCAAACTGAATTATTTCCCTTGCATCCTCCTTAAACCTTTTGAATGAGCCTCATATTCTGAGCATTTCTTTGCCCGGAGCTTGTTTCTTTATTGATCGAAAATATCTTTGCGGTATAAATTGAAATAATATCCGTGCGTTTTCTGTTTTTTTTTGTTTTTTTTTACAGAAATTAAATTTAAGTTTTTACTTATGATAAAAAGTTGAAATAAATTGTTATTTCGGACTTTATTTTTAATTTGCATCACTTTTCAAATCCAAAGGAGGGATCAGAATATGAGGTGCGTTCAAAAGATTTTTTAAGTGGAAGTAATTCGGTGTTTTGTATGCAAAAATCGTTTGAAACGCTAAGTTACATTATTCATACTTAATGTTGGGTTTTTGATTTTAATTGGAAATCAAATCTCATTTTCAAATAGTTCTAAAAACTTTTTAGCTGGGACTTTTAAAACTTTTTTGACACGTGTTGCACTTGTAAACATTTTTTTTTGTCAAAATCTTGTTTCTCTTTTCAAATCTTAAAGTTTGTTAAAAGTTTACATTTCTTTAAATCTATAAAAGAAAGAATTTGCATGCATAATAATGTTGATTTGATTTTATTATAAAAAAAAGCTGGTTATCTTTTTTTTAAGTTTGGGAATGAAGTTTTTCTAAATGCTCGCTTTTAGTTTTTTATTTAATATTCTTTATTTATTGTTTTTGTTGTTTTATGCCAAAAATTCGTTAAGAAAAAAAATGAATTTTTTTCTTTCTATGAATTCTTTTTTTTTTACTTATTTATTTTTGATGTAGAGTTTCTTTTGCTTTGATGAAAAATGACTTTTTGTTTTTTATTTCTCTACATTTTCACTTTCGAGAAAATTACTTTCGCAATGCAAATTATGAATTCTCTCATATTTCTTTACGTGACCTCATATTCTTTTAGTTGGCTTGATGTGAGTTTGTGACCCTGGGTTTCACCCTATTTGCGATCGTCAGACAAACACACTCTCTCTCTCTCTCTCTCTCTCTCTATCCAGTGTAACCTGGATATAAGAGAGTTGTCGGGACCGGAGAAGAAGTCTCTTATATCCGGGTTTGGTCTACATTAACACAGGCTCTAATTTGGGACCAGAGAAAATCTCTCTTATATCAGGGTTTCTCTTACATCCGGGTTACACTGTATTTCAGCTTCTTTGACCAGCAAGAATTTGTAAAACGAAAATAAGTTCGAACATACCTTATTTGGAAAATCTTGCATCAATAAGAAGAAAAAAAATAGCGTCAGAGATAAAATTTCATTTTTCATCTTTTCAAAGGACATTAGTCAGACATATTCATCTTATTTTACCAATTTTTATTAATTACAGAAGTTGCATTATATTTCATTTTTTTTAATTATTTATTTATGGAATAAAAAAATGTATATATCTGAATATGAGACAGGGTAAAGTAATCTAAGGGAGATAAATCAGTATTTGGTATATTTCGAACGCAAAAATTGAGCGTAATTCATTCAGGGCTTACAAATACTATTTAAAATCATATCTGTCTATTGTTTTGTTTTCATAATCCATTGATATTTAAAATAAGCTTTTTAGTTTCAATCTTAAATTTGTTATATTATAACAATCATCAAGTTGGAATAACTAAAAGCTCCCTTGGCCCGTCTGGGTGTAGTGTGCTAAAATCTGGAAGATTTCAGCATTTACTTTCTATCAATAATATCCAAAAATGATGTTGAAGTTAACCTTGGACTGAAAAACGTTTTCTTGCATCACCATGGTTTAAATTATTTAACTTAAATAAATTAATAAAAAATTTTTATACAATTTAACAATTTTAAGAACAAAAATTCCTTTTTTTTTTTTTCCAAGTTTTAATTATGAACAAAGCAAAAATAAAAAAAAATAAACACGATTTGTAAAAAACAAAAGAAAAAAAAGTGCATTCAAAATTTTATATAAAATTTTTCTTTACTTGTTGATGAATTATTTTATTTTTTATTTTTCATGTTTTATTATAACAATGAATATTCTGTTAACAATATTCTTCAACTGGTACATAGTAGGTCACTGGGAATAAATAGAAAGAGAAATCATCAAGAAGTCATTGATGTACATCCCTTTACTTTTTTTGTAGTATTATAGTTTTTAAAAATGTTCCAGAAGGTAGATGAAAATGGCTCTAAACCCCTTCTCTTTATTATCTGTGAAATATCCTGTGTTCTTGGAAAAGATAGTCGTTTCTTGTCTTCTTCTTCATAGTTTGAAATTCAGAGTTTTTCTTCCTTTAGACTGCTTACTACACAAGACTGGAGAGATTGGAGAGATAGGGTTGTGGTGTGCTGCTCAGTTTTGTTTTAAAATTGTTAATGAGGTTGTTAGTGAGGCTGCGTTTTTAGTGAGAGCGCATACATTTAAATTTGCAAAAAACACAAGAACAAGAGATCAAATTACATTCAACAATAAAATATATATTGAAAATCAATGAGTACAATAATTGTGCTTTATGTATTAATATTTAGGGAGAGAAAAGTAGCTTCCCTTGTACTGATATCTGATGCATGATAGGAATAATGTACTTAAGAACTTGTTGAAATGTTCAGAGTTCAGTGAATAAGATTTGAATTCAAGAATGAAAAGTTTGTACCAAAAGTATAATAGAATTTGGTTTGTGACAGACAGTTAACAGTGTAGTGTAATGGTAGTTTTGTGTCTGTGTGTGCGTGAGTAGATGAATGTAGATACGCGTGCGTTGCTGAGTTCTGCTGATTTATTGTTCTACTAACTATTTTCTGGAGTATGAACTGTTTAAATACTTTTTGGGTAGGCTCCAGAGAGAAGCGGGAAAAATATCGAAAGGAATATCTAAAATACATGATTGGATAAAAATTGACCAATCACCGATTTTTTTTTTTTTTTTTTTTTACAAAACCAAGTTAAGCAAAGTCATGGCAGAAAATTTTGAGTGGTTACTGCGATAGGTAAATTGTCCTGTAGTAAACAATACTTATTTTCTATCCAATTATAAGTGAGTATTTTGTGGGCATGGTAAATCGGAGTAGTCGCTACAGGGTCATGCCTTTCTTAATCTGTCGATTTTTACTTTCTATGTCGATAAACATTACACTACCTTCATGTCCTAAAATAGTGCATCTGAAAATGTCTGGGGTAAGAAAAGAGAAAAACTGACAGGAGATAAAGTTATAATTCCTTTTACCTCTGGAACAACGGTGTACTGACATAAGAAAAAGAAGAGACTTTCTAGTCAACATCCAAATTTTATATACAAAGTTTATGACTATTTTCTATGAATGCTTATATTAAGATACCATTAAAAGTGCTAAACTCTGTTTGAAAAACTTTCTTTGAGGTAGAGGGTCTGTTATTAATTGGTGTGTTCATGAATGTACTACTTGAAACAGGGCAACTGAATTTAGGGAATATCCCTCTGTTGTAGGCAGATTAGAACCATCTTAGAGATCATGAAGATACATTTACAAACTTCCCTCGTCAACATAGAAGGGTAAAAACTCTGGCTAGGTTTTCCAGCAAAGTCCCACATATTCATTTTAAATTTAAAAAAATCTAGGAAACTTTTATTGTATATGATGTATCTTCAAAAATATGATGTATCTTCAAAAATAATGCTGAAAGTGGTTTTGCTCTTATGTAAACATGATAAACTGTGAGGAGGAGAAAGAAAAATTTGTTTTTATAGTTGCTGAGAAATTTCATCTCGAACTTCCTTCAGATTTCCAGGTTTTTATTTTATTTTATTTTTCGAATCATTTAACACCAAGCAAGCCATTTAAAGACACAAGGACATTTACTGAGAGTAAAAGAGCCTAAGAAAAAAATCTTTATTAAGGAGAGATGACAATAAAAGAACATGATTCATTGAGACAGAAGATGATGATTGATATTGCATTTAAATTGCATTTAAATTTTTGAAGATCAAAGTTGACAGGAAATGAAAAAGCTAGAAGAGAGTTCATAAGTAAGAAGTGAAAGAGAAGAAACCATTAGCATAAAACTTATGGTTACGTTTTGCCATTTCAACTGTGAAATAATGAGACCTTGCAGCCAATTTAATAATATGCTTAAATTCATAAAGTCTAGGTACCAAAGGGAAAATCTTATCAAACCAATTATCATGAAAATATTTATAGAAAAGGTTTGTTATGGCAGTGGGAAATTGACTAAAACTGAGATGCCAGGCCAGGGTCGATAACATTGCAAATGTCACCAATTTTTCTTTTGAAGTAACTGAAAGCAATAAACTATGACCAGTCTAGTTCCAATTATAGTAATTTTAAGCTACCAATAATAAAATACAACTAAAGGATATTTTTTTTGGTAATGAGATTGACCAATTAAGAAAAATGTCATCAGCATATTTGTGATAGGTTTTTAGTTTAAATAGATTCATTCTTGAGTGTTAAAATATTTTCAATTCAATTAAAAAAATTATTTTTGAAATCTAATTTTTTTTTTTTTTTTAGCAATCCAAATTTTTTTCTTCTTTAATAAATAAAGTTATTTTTTAAATTAGATATTAGGAAATAATTTTTTTTATAGATTAATGTACATAATAATTATTATTATTAGACCAAAATACTTAATGAAAATAAAATGAATCTTATCAACAGATATTGGATTTTTTTCAAAAATTATCATAAACATTTCAAAAACTGTTATGAATTTAATCAACATCAAATAGTTAACTTTACATCAGGAGTCTACTATTTAGAATGTTGTGGCGAAAGAGAAAGTCACTTACTGAGAAAAAGGGCATGTGTATTCTGTATGTTATGCTGAAGACAAAATAGAAACAAGTTACTGGCAGCTGTTGCCATAAATGCATCTCGGATATGCTAAT